ATTCGATTCCGGGGAGGGATTCTGAGAAACAGCTACCACATCCAAGGAAAGCAGCAGGCGTGTAAATTAACCACTCTCGTAACATGGAGGTAGTGACGAAAAATGACGATATGGGAATCATCCTTTGTAAACGGAATGAATACACTCTATATCTCTTAATGAGAATAAAGTGTGTTAATATATTCATATAATATATAAGCGTGTATATTTTTAATAGTAATTAGTATATATATATATATATATATACATGTAAAGCGACTTAAGTACGTAAACGTATCATGCACTAGGTATAGCCTTGTTTTGTGGGCGAGGGGAACGTTATACCTAAGGTATAAACGGCGGCAGCGGCGATAGGAATATATAAATATATATACGTAAGGCGCATTACACGCGGGCGGTATTGGTCAATCAAAATAAAAATTTATTTATATAGATATAATTGATGACAGGCACGAAAACCAAAAATATAAAATTATACAGGTTTAATGTTGTCGGCGTGTAGTGAGCGGGGTGGGGTGAATGCGTTACGACGTCTCAAGGTCATAGACGACGGGTTACGCGAGAATAATAACACGGGGCGGGTGGAGATTTACAAACACATATCACACATCACACAACACACAACCCACATACATGTGAAACTAATATAAGCGTGTTAATAAATAAAGAACATGCTAGACGGTGTGACTAATGAGTTATCTCCTCATCATTTATAATTCATGTCATTCTTAATATTAATTTTATAAACATCAAATTTATTTATTGTACCAATTTGTAGTATGGATTGTAAATATTCAAAGTAAAAAAAAAAAAAAATTTAGTGGTTCACGATAAATAAATCGCTCTGTACACTTTCTTACTTTCTATATTCAGCTTAGTAAAAACCTCTCAGTATATGAATTTTAATATTATATCCGTAGCAACTTTTATGAAAATTAAATCTCATTTCCGCCCTTAAAAATAATTTTGAAAAAATGAGTCCTATTTTAATACTTAAAAGTAGTTGTGTGTGATTTAAACAGTGATGTATTAATGGCTTCATCTCGAAGAGTGATATTAAATTACGTCAATCTCCTCCTACTTAAGAAAATGTAGACGTTGAAATATATCTGAGAAGAGTTGCTCCTATTGCTGCCACCCCATCAAATACGCCACTGGATTCAATTAAATTATTAACACGATTGGATATTTTTTCCAAATATCTCGATTAAACGACAAAACATTTGTATGCTTCATGTTCATTCATTGGTAGATTTTCACTGAATATTATATTTTTAGTATGAATTAATTTGATTTTCTATTTCATCCAAATTTTTTTGAGAGATTATTAAAATTATTATAAATTATTAATATTATTTATTTATTTATTTATTTATTTAGTTTACGGGATGTATCCCTTTTTTTACAAGCTATGTTTACATATTTAATTTTAACTAATATTATAGTTAATAATTAATCATTTACCCTAGTTTATGACAATTATTATCGTAAATAGAGTATTCTGTGGTAAAGCGCGCACTTCCTTACCTAAACAAATTATCAACAATAAAATTTAACTAATAGTGATTTTGATCTTAATTTACTAAGTATTTAATGAACTGAATAAAATGAATAATTAAATCGTACACTTTCCCAATTAATGGGGTTGAATCCAATTAGTATTTGTATAAATTCTATATATTGAATATAATTTAAAAATATATATTGATTATAATATATTAAATTCTAGGTCACAGATCGTCTTTTCAATACTTTACACAAACGTTAACTTAATTAACTATATATATATATATATATATATATATAAAAGACAGGAGGATATTATATTGACACTAAAATAATAAAATTAAAAGACAATTTATTATAATTTTTCTAATGACATGATTCTATTACGCATATACAAATCAAACAATTACATATAGTAAGAACATAAACAAAAAGAATAGAATAACATCACCCAACCATCTGACACTTGTAACGCTGCGTGATGTTGCAAACCTTTGAATGCCCTACAACAAATCCTTCTCGGCAGACGTTAGCAATCATGCGTGTCACAATAATTTCTGAGGTGACCTAACGCATAAACTGACCGGAAACAGGAAAAACACTACCAGTATGTGAACGGTTAGATATCACCCTCAAATATGAAGCGAGTATTCAAATGTATGATTGATTTTTAGCCTATACAGGCCGACACTAAACCAACAAAACTACGCCAGATCACGCACGGGCAACGAGTCATCGGACTCAATGGTGCGATTTGACCACCGTACACGAACATAATGACTTAGGTGCCAATAGTACCGGAAACAACTACTATGAATGTTGTAGGTCAATTTGCAAGGGATGAGTGAGTGATGATAAGCTACAAGGAACTTGACCGGGCTACACACGTAACTTTTGAACAGTAAAATGCAGTAAAAATTATTAAGATTAATTATTTAAATTTAATAAAATAATTTTTAAATTTTATTTATTTATAAAATAAGAATAGATTGTATTCTTTTAGAACAACAATGGACTTTTATATCGAATCAAATTGTTTATTTAAATTTCACGCTGAAAAATTGTGTGCGAAAATAAAATTTTAAATTGTATTATTAAAGAATGAAATATAACATGAAAGTATTAACATATATTATAATCTATAAAAATTAATGTGTAGTATTGTTGATTGTACGTTTGTTTTTGAAATTTTGAAAAAAATTTTTATAACACCGTGAGCGTTTAAAAGTTTTATCAAAGACGCTCATTGCCGCCTGCATTTTTCGATTTAAAACCTGAAATTTTTACCATGCCTACCCTAAAACATTCCAAAGGTATCATTTTATAATTTAATAACTAATTTTTACAATTATAATCAATTTTTAGAATATAAAGTATATTTTTTTAACGTTTTGATTGTTTTTTTTAGTTTTTATGCGAAAATAAAAAGGTATTGGTTTTGTGATGCTGTGCGTTTTTTTTTTATATCTGATCATAAAAATTCTCAGCTCTCACTGGACCAATTTTCTATTAATATTTACTCGTTTTTTACAAATTAGTAATAATCTCAAAACTGTGGTTAAAGAAAAAATCTAATTCCATATTTGAAAGGAGTATATATGTATAATGTATATATGTATAATGGATTTAGAAACAAAAATTTGTGTTGATCCATACATTTTTCAAAAAGTTATAGCAATTTAAAGTTGAACATTTAAAATCGAAAATTTTAACACAACAATAGCATTTTTTAAACTTCGGTAGCCGTTTGTACGTAAAAGATAAATCGACGCATCGGAAGAAATTTTTTTTTTTGAATTTATGGTAAGTAACATAAGCTTTAATTCGACATGCGTTTAAAGGACGCAGTATTTTCGGAACATTATCAAAATTTAAGTTGAAAAGTTTATGTTTATAAAAAAGTTACTATTTTGAATCCCTCCCTGTGAACAAGTAAAGGGTCAACATTTCAAAAATATTATATCAAATAAAAGGGAATTACTTGATTTCAATATAAAAAAGTTATGTGTTATTTGTTCATTATTCAAAAAGTAATAGTAGTTTTAAGCAAAAAAAGTGAAAAAAATGTCGAAATTTACCGAATTTAAAAATCGTAATTTTCGGAATGTTTTACATCATTTATGGAGAATGAGGGAAATGTTTAAGGGTAATGTTTTCAACTAGATACGATTTGTGATCTTTTGACGTATCGTTGAGAAAAATCGGTTCTGTGAAAGCTAAGAAAAATTAGCGATAGACACACACAAAAAAAATAATAATAAACACATCATGATAAAATTAATATCTGCTCAGGTTCGCATTTAAGCTAAAAATCGTTTTTTATCGATTTCAGATTTTGTGAGTAATCCAATATTACCGTTTAAGAATTTTATTACTAAAATAAAATTTTCACCAAAGATTAAATTTGTTCTTTTTTCAGTACTTTATTTATATATTTCTAAATATTAATTTTAATTTAGTTAAAGTTATTCTGCTCAAAAAATTTGATATTGAATGTTCCATAAATTGAGCTTAACAATATTTAAAGTTAATGATAAGATAAATTTTTCTATTTAATGTAATAAGAAAATAAAATGTAATTAATCTATTAATTATATTTTATTATATTATCAATACTTATTAATATAATAATAAAAATAATTTGTATTATTTATGAAGAGTAAAATTTATAAATTACCGGATTTTTTTTATATGATAACTAAAATCCACCAAAAAATATCTTAACTCGTTTTTTAACTTAGTAATAACTAATTGGATCGAGTTTTAATTATTATATTATTGCCCCCCATATAAGAAATAGTTCCGGCGCTCCTGATCCAATAGAGTAATATACCAATACTAGTCTCCGCCCCAGACCCAGGGCCCCATGAGCCTTATGCGTAAGCTTCTTTGGGCCATCGTCGTACGTAGGCCACTGTTTCCGGTAGGAGTACCCAGCTACGCCAGCCACGATAACTGTTTTGTAGAAACAATATTACATCAGAATCAGTGTAACAAAAATATATTAAAATAGGAAAATTCAAAAAGAGAACATAGTAAAATGTATTGGGTATAAGATTGACGTTTGCTAAAATTACACAAATTAAAATTCAGAATTAACGTATGATCATAAATGAGTCAAAGTCCATAGTAAAACCCTGCGCGTGGAACTAAAAACAAAAAGGTCATAAAACAGTGAAAATGAACGGATTGAATTAAAAATAAACAAAATCAGTTATAACGTATTTTTAAGACTTTTACATATTTATTACTGTAAGTAGTATTTTTGTTTGGCTATTTATTAAGAAACAACATTGAAGTTATTATTTTTGAATTTCTTGTAAAATTTCCTTTATTTGAGTTTTACTTTCATATTTCTAAGTTAAGCAAAAAAAAAGTTATGAGACAACTTCTTCTTCTTCGCCTTAATCCCAATTACTTGCGGTCGGGCACCCTTATTCTAAACTTCCACTTGATACGATCTCCTACATCCTCTACACTCACATCAGCGGTCCTTATATCGCATTCAATAACATCCATCCATCTCTTCTTTGGTCTTCCTCTACATCTTTTTCCTTCAATATAGTTCTCAATATTTCAATTATAACATCTATTTAAACACCAAGACTTACATAGAAATTATTACTATTTCTATTGAAATGATTTATTACGGTACAATTACAAAAAATATAATAAGTGATTTTAACGAAATTTTGGGCTTTTTATTTTTAAATTTACGTTAATAGTAATTATATAAGTTCTTATATACAGGATGTTCAGTAAGTCAGGAAACGGGTTTCTATTGTTCTCATTGTTTGTAACAATGTATATCAATTTAAAGAAAATCATTTTTTAAATCTTCATAAATTTTTTATTTATTATATTTATATTTGTCTAAATTTCCAAAATTAAGATGTGTCAGTTAGATATGTTTCACTTATATATATTTATTAATATAATCTCTATACATATAGATTTTAATAAGGTATTTGATTATATTCATTTTATTATTAATGTATATAAAGTAATTGAATTTTACGCATATAATTGAAAATAAAAAAATAGTAGTTCTACGAGTTGTATAACTGTAATATGGGTACATGAAGCTATGCTAGTGAATATTGGCCCTATAATAGCGTATCCAAATTCTACATTGTCTGTACCGTCTCTTGGGATCCAAAAAGTGCCCTTCATTCCCCATGAAGTATTACCAAAAGAGTTCATCAGTAACCAATAGTCTTTACTCTTCCATGTTCCCCAACCAATAAGTTTAGCAGCATGATCACCTTCAAATACTCCTGTCTTGTGAACATAAATGCCTAATAAATCGGGAATAATGAATAATTTAGAACTCTGTTTTTACAAATTAATTTTTATTAGAACAAAATTCCATCCAAATATTTTACATATTAAGAGTTTCAAATAATTAAAAAACTATAAAAAGAAATACAATTAGGTATGCCCTGTAATAATTTAATTCAACTAGTAAGCATTTTAACATTTTGATGCTACTCATACCTATAAAATTTATAGGTAAATACTAAATAAGTCTAATTATATTTAATATAATTAGACTTATTTAGTATTTGCTAAAAATAGGATTTGAAACCCAACTTATATTTTTTAAGTATTAATATACATTTTTTTTTAAGTAATCATATTATCATATATAATTTATATGTCATTTCCATTGACTTTTATTTAAATAACCATTATTATCGATTTATATCAGCATTTGGAAGTGGTATCGCTCACGTAGACTTATCTTTTTTATAGAACAGATGTTTGTTTTTTATGACATTTTTAGCTTCGATGCGAAGCTGAGAAGGTATTAATTTTACTATGATGTGCTTTTTTTTTGTGTCTGTTACCACTTTTTCTCAGCTCTCACCGAACCGATTTCTTTCAACGATACGTCAAAAGATCAAAAATCGTATCTAGTCAAAGACAACACTTTTTTTTTTTGCTTCATNAGCCACGTGCCCGTGCTCCAGGCACCTGTAGCACCTCGGACCCTTTTTTTTTTTTACTCCGACCGGCGCAACTGTGGACCGCCCTGGAACTACCGTGAGGTATTACTTCAGGGCGGCCCACGCCGTCTCTAAAACTCACACCACCACGTTGTGAATCAGCCCGAAATTAATCAAGAGCTGATTTACAACGTGTTGTGGCCTCCTCCGTTGAAAACGAAGGGGCAAAAATAACTCACATAAACATAAAACATATAAACACTAGTACCTAAGGCGCCGGCCTAAATCAGCGCCTTAGGTCCTCCTGTACCGGGCGGCGCGGCTGCCTCTGTCTCAGGCGTTCAGCTTCCTCCTTCTTTTTCAAGATGGATTCGGCGAACACCTGGACGAGCCTCCACGCCTCCCGGCTCCTCAACATCAGGTCCACCATGGACCCGACTCGGAACGTGGACCCTAGTCGAGACTCCAAAGAGTCCCGTTCCTGGGCCCACGCCTCGCACCGGAAGAGGGTGTGCAAAGCGCTATCAGCCTCTCCCGGGCGATCCGAACAGTGGTCGCACGTCGGCGCGGCTGCTTTACGAATACGGTGTAAGTACTCGTTAAAGCAGCCGTGGCCGGACATCACTTGGGTGAGACGATAAGTCATCTCACCGTGGGTCCGGTCCACCCACCTGTTCAGCCGATCGCGTCCTATGAGGGACCTGGTCCACTCGCCTCTCGTTTCCTCCGAGAGGCGAGTCCGCCACCGGAACATGGTCATCCGCCTGAGCGCTAGCCGGTCCTCGGGTTCGAGGGACCGGTTTCGCTCTCGGCGGAGCTCATGCCCGGCGGCGCGTTCCTCGGCGAGCAGGTCGGCGGGCGGCAGTGACGACAGGATACCCGCCGCCACTCCGGACACCGTTCGGTACGCCGAAACAGTCCGGATCGCGGCCCGCCTCTGCACCCTGAGCAGGGCTTCACGGTTTTTGGACGAATACTCAAGAGTATCCGCCCAAACCGGGGACCCGTACAGGAGGACCGAGTGTACGACGCTGACTAAAAGTCTGCGCCGCATCTCTCTCGGCCCTCCCAGATTGGGCATGATTCCCGCCAGGCAATTCATGACTTTCTGGGCCCGTTGGGCCGCACGAGTAATGTGCGGCCCGAACTTTAGACGTTTGTCTATGACGAGGCCCAGATAAGTCATGGAGTCCTTAAGCGGGATCTCCACCCCCAGCACGGCGAGCCGTGGAGGAGTGAACTTGTACCTGCCCGTGAACAAGACCGCTTCGGTCTTGTCCAGGGCGAGGCTAAGTCCACTCCCCTCCTGTTGGATCCAGGCGGAGACTGCTCTGAGCGCGCAATTTGCCCGGGATCCAGCCTCCTCGGACGAGGCGCCTTCCGCCACCACCAGCGTGTCGTCCGCGTAGCAGACGACACTCACGTGCGGTGGTAGCGGAACGCGTAACAGGTCGGATTCTCGGGCCCGCGGCGCTCTCGTAAGAGATGACCCGATCGCTAAAGTACGACCGGATCATCCGCCCGAGGTAAGGAGGCACCCGAAACTCGTCCAGCGCTCCGAGGATGTGTGACCATCGCACGGAGTTGAACGCGTTTCGGATGTCCAGGCTCACCGCCAACCCGAAGCCCTGCTCAGTTTTGGCCCTGAGGGCCAAGTCCCTGAAGAGGGAGGCCGCATCGTCCGTCGACCTCCCCCTCCTGAAACCATACTGGCCCTCGGCCAGTCCGCCGACGTCGGCCAGGTGGGCTTCGATCCGGGTGACGAGCAGCCGCTCGAGGATTTTCCCCAAGTCGTCCAACATGCAAAGCGGTCGGTACGACGAGGGGAGACCCTCGGGCTTGTCACCCTTTCTCAGAAGCACCAGCCTGGCCTTTTTCCACTTCGTGGGGAATTCACCCTCCGAGAGGCAGCGGTTCGCGACGGCGCGTATCCAGTCCGGGGCGAGGTCGTTTACCAACCCCCACACCCGGTTTGGAATCGCGTCAGGGCCGGGAGCTGTGTTCCGGCCCCGTACGCGCGCCACCGCGTCGGCCACCTCCTGGGTGGTGAATTCCTCCACCGACACGTCGTCCCCGAACGCAGGGGGAGGCAGAGGCGGGTGTGTCGGAAAGAGCGTGTCTACCGCCCTTTCCAGCACTTCCGCCTCCAGCTGACCGGAAGCCGGTGAACCGCGGAGCTTCCGCATAACGACCCGGTAGGGTTTCCCCCACGGGTCGTGGTCCACCGACTTCACGAGTTCGGCCCAGCACTTCGCTTTGGCCCGCCTGATGGCGAGCTTCAGCTCTTTGCGGGCCGACCTCAGCGCCTCCCTCGGGTCCGGGGATTCCGGGTCCCGCGGCCAACGGTTGGAGCGCGTCATAGTCCTCCTGACCCTGACGCACTCCTCACGCCTGACCGCCACCTCGGCGTTCCACCAGTGGACTGGCGGTCCGCGAGTCGACGGCGGTCGTTTGGCCGGGAGGGCGAAGTCGCAAGCTGCGACCACCCTCCGGTCCAACTCTTCCGCCGCTTCGCTCGCGGAGACGCGCCGGTCCGGTACCGCGGGCGCCGACCATTGAGCGAGCAGTAAGCCCGTCTCAAAAGCGTCGACGTCCGTGGCCGGTCCGACTCGCCAGCCCACTCGCCCACCGCGAGACGGCACGCGGGGCACGGCTCGAGGGGGACGGCCGCCATCGCCGCACTCGTACACGATGTACCGGTGGTCGCTGAGGTTTTCCCTGTACGGGAGAACCGACCAGCCGGTCACGTGCGGGTGCAGCGACGGAGACACCAGCGTGACGTCCACCACCGAGCTCGAGGAGTGACCCTCGAACGTCGGGGTGGATCCCCTGTTGGCCGATACCAGCCCGAGGGCCGACATCAGGTCCAACAGTTCTTCGCCACGCTGATTCGTGTCCGCCGACCCCCAGACCGGGGAGTGAGCGTTGAAGTCCCCGGCCACGAGCTCCCCGCGGCCGTCGCGCGGCCGCCCGAGCCTCCTCGCCCGTAGGCAGGAGGACACGGACTCGAGGAGTCCGGCGATCGGCAAGCTGGGCGGCGCGTAGCAGCTCAAGACGTCCATGCCGTCTATCCTCGCCACTACGTAACCGTCGCCCGACTCGATGTCCGCGACCGTCAGGCCGCGGTCCATCACACCGATCGCCGCTCTGCCGGACCGGTCCAATAACCAGCCGGCAGAGTCCCGGACCGATCCGGCATGCGGGTCCGAGACGATGCACACGTCGGTGCCCATCTCGTACGCCGCCCGCCGGACGAAGACAACACCTTCAAAAATTTAAAAAAATTTCCCTCGTTTCCCATAATTGAGGAAATATCCAAAAAAATTATAAATTTATAAAATCGCTAATTTTCGAAAAATTTTTAATTTTTTTTACTTAAAATTGCCGTAACTTTTTCAAAAATGAACATATCAATATAATTTTTTTTTTTATAGATACTTGATATCTTTACCTATTATTTGGTATATTTTTTTGTAAATCTGACACTTAACCTGCCCACAGGGGGGGATTTAAAATGACAACTTTTTCACAAAAAAAATCTGATGTGTTATGCGATAAGAAAATTTCATTGCGACTGAAAGGTGAGTTATATAAAACTGTAGTGAGTCCAGCTATGATATATGGTTAAGAGTATTGAATGGTTGACAAGAGAGTAGAGATGAGAAGGAGTGTAGTAGAGATGAGAATGCTTAGATGGACAAAAGGAGTGACTAGAGAAGACAGGATAAGGAACGAACATATAAGAGGGAGTATAAGTGTAGCGTCAATCGTAGATATGAGAAAAAATAGACTAGATGGTGTTATGAAGTATTGCAAAAGTCGTGCTGAACCAAAACATAGCTAACCATTTGATTTGTGCATATTCGGGTCAAATATTTTAATAACAATTAGTCGTAGTTTCGTCGCCGTACTATTAATTGTATAGATTATTATTACGCTTATTTTACAATTTATCTATGTCAATTACAATAAACCGCTAATAAATATTAAATACTGAATTTGTTTCTTAAATCCTTCCCGCTAAGTTTAATAACTAAAAAATAACACTTTAGGTTAATTACGTTCAACAATAGTATTAATGACGACTCGACATCGTTCGCCAACAACTCACACACGGTATGACTAACCCAATCTGTGGTAGCGGAACAAACCAAGATCACAACAATGGTTTGGTCGTGTTATCAGGAGAGAGGAATCAGAACCCGTAAGAACAGTTATGAAAATTAATGTTAAAGGAAAAATAGGTAGAGGATCACCAAAAAAGAGATGGAGGATGTTACTGGATACCAAACGAGGACAGCTGATGTGAGCGTAAATGAAGTGGGAAATCGTGTCAAGTGAAAGTTTCGGATAAGGGTAACCAACCCCAAGAAGTAGAGATTAAAGTGAGGAAAAATAATAAAAAGATATAAAAGTGTCAGTGTTTCCAGTTGAGTTACACTAGATGACATTCTTTAGTTTAAAATTTTTTAATTCTTATAAAATAACGTTATGATGATTTTATATTTTAAAAGTTAAATTTTTACAATCGTATTGCGAGACAGTGGTACCGTGGCTTAGTTGGATCAAGTATAATGATATCTGACAGTGATTAAAATCACTATAAAAAAAAAACGCTTCGATGCAAATCTTTAGATAGTGTTTAATTTTAAAAAATTGGTGGATTATTCCAAAAGCTACATGATCTGCTAGTTCATTATTAATATCCTAATTAAGATAAAGTATGTCGAATGAAAAAGGGATTATTAAAAAATATTATTTCTTATAAAAAAATAATGTTGATCCATACACTTTTAAATATGTCATAGCATTATAAAGTTAAAAATGTAAAAAATAAAATCGAGAATTTTCACATAATAATAGCATTTGGTAGCCATTTTCACCGTGAAGACAAAATAAAGTCCGAAATTTTTTTTTCCCATAATAAAGTAGATTACATTAGCTTTAATTTAATATATATATAAAAGTGTCAGACTTTCCGGAACACTTTCAAAATTTAAGTTGAAAAAGTCAATTTTTTGTGAAAAAGTTGTCATTTTGAATCCCCCCCTGTAGGCAGGTAAAAAGTCAGATTTATAAAAAAAATATACCAAATGATAGGTAAAGACATCATGCATCTACAAAAAAAAGAATTATATTGATCCATACATCTTTCGAGAAGTTATAGCATTATAAAGTTAAAAATATAAAAAAGAATTTTTTTACAAAAATCGTATTTTTTTTATTAAGTTTAATGTCTGTTTTCACCATGAAGCAAAATAAAGTCCAAAATTTTTTTTTTTTAATATTAAAGTATATTACATAAGCTTTAATTTAAGATATATAAAAAAGTGTCAGTATTTCCGGAACACTTTCAAAAGTTAATTTTTTGTGAAAAAGTTGTCATTTTAAATCCCCCCCTGTGGACAGTTAAAGGATCAGATATAAAAAATATATATACCAAATGATAGGTAAAGATATCATGCATCTATAAAAAAAAAGATATATTGATCCATACATCTTTCAAAAAGTTATAGCATTATAAAGTTAAAAATATAAAAAAGAATTTTTTTACAAAAATCGTATTTTTTTTATTAAGTTTAATGTCTGTTTTCACCATGAAGATAAAATAAAGTCCGAAATTTTTTTTTACCATTATAAAGTATATTACATTAGCTTTAATTTAAGATATATATAAAAGTGTCAGACCTTCCGGAACACTTTCAAAAGTTACGTTGAAAAAGTTCTACTTTCTATATGCATTTTTATGTTTTGAATCCCCCCTGTATTTAGGGAAATGGTCCGATTTAAAAAAACAGTATGTCGAATGAAAGATCTATATAAATACTACTTCTCATAAAAAAATTGTAATGATTCATACATTTTTCAAAAAGTTATAGCATAATAAAGTTAAAAATGGAAAATACAAAATCGAAAATTTTCACACAAAAATAGCATTCGGTAGCCATTTTCACCATGAAGATAAAATAAAGTCCGAAATTTTTTTTTTCCATAATAAAGTATATTACATTAGCTTTAATTTAAGATATATATAAAAGTGTCAGACTTTCCGGAACACTTTCAAAATTTAAGTTGAAAAAGTTCTACTTTCTACATGCATTTTTTAGATTTGAACCCCCCTCGTATATAGGGAAATGGTCCGATTTAAAAAAACAGTATGTCAAATGAAAGATATATATGAATACTACTCCTCATAAAAAAATTGTACTGATCCATACATTTTTCAAAAAGTTATAGCATAATAAAGTTAAAAATGTAAAATACAAAATCGAAAATTTTCACACAAAAATAGCATTCGGTAGCCATTTTCACCGTGAAGATAAAATAAAGTCCGAAATTTTTTTTTTGCATAATAAAGTACATTACATTAGCTTTAATTTAAGATATATATAAAAGTGTCAGACTTTCCGGAACACTTTCAAAATTTAAGTTGAAAAAGTAAATTTTTTGTGAAAAAGTTGTCATTTTAAATCCCCCCCTGTGGGCAGGTAAAGGGTCAGATATAAAAAAAATATATACCAAATGATAGGTAAAGACATCATGCATCTATAAAAAAAAAATTATATTGATCCATACATCTTTCAAAAAGTTATAGCATTATAAAGTTAAAAATATAAAAAAGAATTTTTTTACAAAAATCGTATTTTTTTTATAAACTTTGATGTCTGTTTTCACCATGAAGATAAAATAAAGTCCGAAAATTTTTTTTACCATAATAAAGTATATTACATTAGCTTTAATTTAAGATATATATAAAAGTGTCAGACCTTCCGGAACATTTTCAAAAGTTAAGTTGAAAAAGTTGCCATTTTAAATCCCCCCTTGTGGGCAGGTTAAAGGTTAAATTTATAAAAAAAATATACCAAATGAAAGGTAATGATATTATGCATCTATATAAAATAGAATTATATTGATATGTTCATTTTTGAAAAAGTTATGGCAGTTTTAAGTAAAAAAAATTGAAAAAATTGAAAAAATTAGCGATTTTTAAATTCGTAATTTTTTTGGAGGTTTCCCCCATTTACGGGGAACGAGGGAATTTTTTTCAATTTTGAAGGGTAATGTCTTCGACTAGATACAATTTGTGATCTTTTGACGTATCATTGAAAGAAATCGGTTCGGTGAGAGCTGAGAAAAAGTGGTAACAGACACAAAAAAAAAAAAAAAACACATCTTAGTAAAACCAATACCTTTTCAGCTTTGCATCGAAGCTAATATTATTTCTCATAAAAAAAATTGTGTTGATCCATTTACTTTTATCAGTCTGAAATTTTGTATAGCTCATTTTCATGAGTATCAAAATAAATTTAAATAGTCTCTTTGGTAAAATAAAAAAAGTAGATTTTTAACGCCACCTCTATTATGTATATTATTATATTTAAATAAGTTAAATCAATCTGTTTAATATGTATTCATTTGAGCTAACGCTTGTTTTGTTTAATAAAAAAAAAATGAAAAATATTATAATTTATAGTTCTAGTTAAATGTATTTGCCTACCATTTGTATAGTATCTGAAATCTTCGTAAAGATGCATTGACACTTGAAGTGGGCCGTGAGTCATTAAAGCTTCCATAATACCGAATTGGTCTTTTCTAGGCCATAATTCGTAGTTACGAACTAAATGAATAAGATTATAAAATTGTTACTTCTAAAAATAAAAATATTTATCAAACTGGACTCATTAGAGTATTTAACCAACACGACATTTTTCGAAGTTAATGATATAAGATGTATTACTAAAATTGCTTGATCGTTGAGAACCATCCATACACGTGCCAGGACATTCTGGTAGAGCCGAATTAACAGTCGCCCATTCTCCACCATGTCCTGAAGATCCATATTTACTAGGTCGAGCAGGGGGCATTTTGTATGGAAAACAACTCTAAAGTTTAAAAACATGTTAAAAATATAAAATAAAAATATTGTCAATGTTTAAATTTAAAACCGGAAATGTATAAGTAATAAAATAAGTTAAATATAATATATCAAATCAATATTAAAAACTTATACATTTTTTAATATAACTCTATCATAATTCAAGAAAAATATGGGATGTTCCAAAATAAAATAATTTGTTTTAATAAAAAATAAAAAAACCCAGCACAATGGTGACGTGGCATAGTAGGATCAAGTATAATGATACCTGACAGTGATTAAAATCACTATATTAAAAGATGCTTCGATGCAAATCTGTAAATAGTGTTTAATTTTAAAAAATTGGTGGATTATTCTAAAAGCTACTTAATCTCCTATTTTCTTATTTATATATATCCTGATTACAAGTTTTATGATTTATAAGTGTAATATAAAAATAAATAAATATATTTATTTATATATAAAGAGGGCCATAAATATTATTTCTCATAAAAAATTTGTATTGATCTATACACTTTTCAATAAGTTATAGTATTATAAAGTTAAAGATGTAAAATATGACATCAAAATGAAATCAAACAACAGCAGACGAAATTATAGGTGAAACTAGGGACGGAATATTTCTTAATATCAATATATTATAGAATACTATAGGATATAACTATATGAAATATAATCTGGATATTTCATTTGTAGCATCTATTTTATTTTGTAACTCTTGGTGTTTTACAAGAATTATATAGAAATGATTATTAAGATTTCTAATTAGATGATTTAATGAAATACAAGTAGCTAGGATAAAGGTAAGAAAAAAGAAGAAGACTAAGAAGTTTTTTATATAATATTCATAAACAGTTTTTATATTTTAATATTTTTTACAATGTAGTAGTAAGATTAATTATATCAAATAAATTATATAAACAATTAGTATTGTATTCTCTCAAAGCTTCTTCAAGGTTGGATGGGTAGTCTATGATGTTGTCATGTTTTGTCTTATACAGTGATGTAATTAGGGTTTCGTTTTGGAGGAATGAATATAACAAAAATGTTCACTTCTACTTCCTAACGGAAAAAATTGTATCTATAACATAGAGTTTTATGCCATATTTTTGTCATGGGTGAATATGACACCCCTATTTATCCATAATTATTTTAGTGGTGGTATTATGGAAAATATAATGTTATATATTCGATTGTTAGTCATTTTTTGCAGAGTTTGTGGGTTAGTTATTTCTATCTGTTGAATAGGTAGGCATAGGTTAGGAGGATGTGTTCCTATTCTTCCATGGGTTGTTAAGTATTTATTATACTGGAATGTGTTGATAAATATAGAGTCAATAGAGTATATAGCTTGATTGTTTAAGAAGTTCAGAGTTTCATTACCTATGAAATTGATGAGAGATAAATGCTATGATTTTTTCACTATGATGTTCAAAATTTGAATACTAATTTCATTTATTAGTTATTGCGATTGTAGTGATTTTAGATCACTAAATGAGTTGTTCATAACAAATACTTTTTAGAAAAAGGTCGATTTTTCATGTAATATCGTTTTTTATAAGTAGAGATCGGAATTATATTCTTTAACATATTTTTTTTGAGCGTATGTAGACATGCGGGGGTTCGAAATCTTTATAAATCGGGAAACAAAGATATCAATAGCAAAAGTTTTTTTTGTATATTTGAGAATATTTTAAGTTAAAAGAATATTTTGCTTAAAAAAGAATATTTGAGAATATTTCGATTAATTTTATGGAATTTGGATTTTTTTTGTTGCTTTGACCAAAATTATACATAATATTATACTAAATAAATTTAGTCTGTTATTTTTTAGAAAACTATGTGTAGACTTATGATTAAAATGCTTTACAAGTCATGTAAAGTAGAAATGAATTAGAAAAACATTATAAAAATAACTCTAAATATTCGTTTATCATTATAAATGATAATCATTATTATCGTGTTCCTAGAAGAGGTAGGTACAAAGATTATTGTACAACATAAATGATGTAAGTGTGTGGTTGAATTAATTGACATTCAATCTGTCTATCGTTCTTTGTCGCTCGTCGTGTATACGCAGTATTATCATACCGAGTGTAGTTTCATTTCTTTTAGTTGTTTGTTTTTAATTACTTATTTTCCAAAATGCCGAAAACCCCATCAAGCAAATTAAAAAATTTAATTGCTCAGTGGATACTACCACTAAATAAAGATAATGTAAACTTTAAAATTGATGGGACGACTCTTTTTTGTCAACTGTGTGACAAACACATACCATGCATTAAAAAGTCTCAAATAATCCAACATGTGAACACATCATCACACCAAGAAGCTTTAAAGCGTAAGTCTAATAATCCAAAACAATTGTTTTTATCAGAATCTACATCTAAAAAAAATGTAAATGAATTCTATGAAGACCTATGTTT